GTTGAACCCAGGCCCTGGCATTGAAAGCCCAGAATCCTAAACACTAGGGAACTCTAAGGCCCAAGTCTTGATTGGGCATTACAAAATAGAATATCCAAAAGGCCACTAAGCATATGAAAACATGCCCAACAATATTGGATTTGGGGAAGTTATGAACACAGTTAATCCAATTATATACCCACACAGGCTAAAATTAAAAGGACCAACAATTGTTCACAAATATGTGCAGTAACTGGAACCATCACTTACTGCTGGTGGAACAACCAGTTTGGAATACCAACAGCACTTCCTGGAATTAAACAACGTCTACCCTATGCCCCTGGAATGCCACGCCTTATTATATACTAATGCGGATGTGTGCTTATGTCTTCAACAGACATGTACCATAGTGTTCAAAGTGGCTTTATATGAAAAAGCCAAGAACTGGCAACTTTCTAATGTCTGGCAATATAAGAATGGACAGATAAGGTGTAATATGTTATATAAGTCCATTATACAAATTTACTATTCATATGATGGAGTATTATACAATGTATATACTTATGATGAAAATATTATGAAGGGCTACTGCTAGACACAATAACATGGATGACTCTCAGAGACACAATGTGGACAAAAGGATGTAGACACCAAATGCACCTACTACATCCTTCTATTTACATGATCATTAATAGGCAAAATAAGTCCAGGGTAACAGAGGTCAGCTGAATGGTGAGCTTGTCTTTGTTGAAGAGATTGTGTGGGGCTGGAAATGTTCTCTATCTTGATCCAGGTGGTGATTCCATAAAAACATACGTATCTAAAAACCTATTGAGTTGTCCACTTAAGATGGTGCACCTTACTGCTTGTGATGGACATAGACATGGTCTCATTGTTACATTACTTATGTTTTTCTTTATCATCAGTCTTCCCCGTAAATACCACGAAAGCAGGCATTTCTGTCTCTTCTTGTTCCTGGTCTTACAGGTGTGTTTGTATACAAACAGAACAGCACATGGAAGATACTGGGTGTTCAATGAAGTGTTATTAAGCTAGTTGTATTTAATATTAGTTGCATTCACTTGATTTTTACTTGTGCCTACTTCTTTGGGTACATGTAATTTGTGTGTACATACATTTTTAGCTTCTGCTCTTTTTTCTCTTAATATTTCCCTTAAAAATCTATACCTATTAGCCATACACTTGTGCACATATTACTAAATATTTACTGGATATGTCTCATTGCTTCCAGTAGATAAAGTGTAATTTGCCTAGTCAGTTACTCACTACTGGGCAACGTGGGGTTTTCTATTTTTTACTTTTCCTTATGATAGTGTCATCTTAAGCTAATGTTTTCCTCTGGTTTGTGGCCTTTATTTGGTAGATCCCCTAGCAGATACTAGAAAGCAAAGTGTGAGAATGGTTTTAAGCTTTAATAGCAGACTATTTTATTGCTCTGGAGAGAGAGTAGTTTACTTGATGGTGCCCCCAGCAAGGCATGCGGGCCTCTTTTTCCTGTACCTTAGGCACTTGGGGTGTCATAATTTCATCGTATGCTAATGTTACGGGCTCATTATCATACCCTGCCGTTTCCCACCTTTACATTTTTCTAATTGTTTACTGGCTGTGCATGTTTCCACTTGCTGAATAAATCCCAGTCTATAAATCTCCCTGTGTCCCATGCTCGCCCCATTACTCGTTTAATTCTGGATCACAGTTAAAGGTGAAGTGATGGTAGTCACAACCTTTTTTTAATGGGCAAAGTGGAACTTACTGTGGTTCTATTCTAGCTTATTATCTAGAGCAAATGAACGCACACATTGAATATGATAATAAATATGTTTTTAAAGCAAAATATAAGAGCTAAAGCAATACATTTTTACAAGACTTATGAATTAGAGGGGACTGGCTGAGATGCCTTATAAAAGAACTCTAAGTAAGTTTGGAGAGAAGAGGTCCTCTTTTCCACTGGTCAATCTCCTTGACATTGTCATTATTTTAAGGTCTTTAAAGGGCAAGTCGTGGGCAAACAGTGGTAATTGAGATGCACTGTGGTCCTGTCCATCACCAATATCCTTTTGTGGCAGTCATTAGATGCTTACATATTCAACTTTCGATCACCCTACGGGGATGATAAAAACAAAGGTCTCAGTCTAGACACTGAGTTCACAGTGACTTATTGCAAATTTCTGTACAATCTTCTCAGTCATGTGGGTTTTTTATTATTATTATTTTGTTTTTCAAATTTCTTTTCCTGTTTCTCAGTGCCAGGGAGTTTCCAGCTGTGATCCTAGAGGTAGGGTCAGCCAACCCAGCCCTTCACCTTTGGTGTAATGGGGTTGCTCCACCTCTGTTGCAGGGCCACCCCACTGGCCCAGGGGCTGGAAGATGGCCTGTAGACTGCCACAGGAGCTGTGGACCCCAGCGTCTGACTGTGGGGAGCATGGCTGTCCAGGCTTCTCCTGAGCACGCCACTGCTTTTCAGACAGGGGTGTCCTGATGACCACCTGACCCAGCTCCCCCAGTCTAAGCGGGGCTGTGCTATGAGAGCCACACCAAAGACCTCCCCTAAACTTGCCCCTTGGTGGACACGGTGTAACAATCCATTCAGTTCTTCCCGGTATAGACATGTCAGCAGCTCCTGGAAAATGAACTGTCTTAGCAGAGGTCAGAGCTTGGCCCTGGAAGCTCTGTGAGCTCCGCTGTCTGACACCCAGAGCGACCCCACACCACCACACTCTGCACCTGGGAGGCCCAGGCTGCCAGCCCAGCACCACATTCTCTGCCCCGCTCTCCTGCTCTTGTCCTGATCTGCTGCCCAGTGCCTGCGGAGACAGCCCCCAGAGCAAGACAGATTCCAGTCGTCCCTGCAGACAGCCCTCCCTGCTGCTGGTCTGTGACCAGGCTCGCAGGTGCTCTGGCTCCTCCTGCCAGGGCAGTAGGAATCGTCCCTGCAGACAGCCCTCCCTGCTGCTGGTCTGTGACCAGGCTCATGGGTGCTCTGGCTCCTCCTGCCAGGGCAGTAGGAGGAAAACCAGCTGCAGGTTTTGACCTGTGGTCGTAGACTAGAATATCTTAACCTCAGCACCACGGACAGATTAGATGGCATAATTCTAGACTGTGGAGGGCTGTCCTATGCATAGTGAGGTTTTTTGCAGCATCCCAACTCCTCACCCATTAGCTGCCAGTAGCACTTCCCAGTCATGACAATCACAAAACTCTACCAGTGATTTGTGAATCGCTCGTGGTGGAAGACAACAGATGTAGTGGGTGGAGGTGAGCACTTTAAAAAGGGAATAGGATTTAAATATCAGAATGTAACATATATTGATAAGGTAAGTCTTTCTTAATGAAACTTTTTCAATTAAAAATAACATAGGTATGCATGTTCTGGATCATGTGATAAGTATATTTTTTAAGGTTTGATGTATCAGACTTCTAGAAATTTTCAGAAATTACAAAAAACTTGTGTAGATCCTGGATGCTAGTTTTCCAAACTTGCTTTCTCCTCTCTCACCTCCCTGTCCCTCCGTCTTTTCTCTGGTTCTCAAATGCTCCCTGTGAGCACAGGGTGTTTATACCAAAACACCACACTCTGTGCTCTAAGCTGTCATTGCTGATATTTGGATTTAGGTTCATAAGTGACAGTGATTATAATCATCCTCACCTGTGTTGTCCTTTCCAGGTTAGGGCATTCAGACCACACTTGTTTATAATTTGTGAAAATTTATGTAATCCATTCCTTTTTTGAAAGTTTTGAGTAATAATCCAGAAAATTTTCGAGGACCAAGTGTCCTTTTGTGTTATCATTTTTCTTTATGGATCTTCATTCAGAATATTTATGTCTTTTAACACATGTTTTAATACAGTTGTTAGCTCTGTTTGGTTGTCAGGAAGATCCCCTGGAGAAGGAAATGGCAACCAACTCCAATATTTTTATCTGGTGAATTCCATGTACAGAGGAGCCTATTAGGCTACAGTCTATGCGGTCTCAAAGAGTCATACACGACTAGGTGACTAACACTTTCACTTTATTTGGTTGCAATGTTAATTAGCCATCACCTGAGAAAAATATTTCCCCAGTTTAAAAAAATGTAACTGACTTTGAGGACTTTTGCTCAGTCCTGATTGTTTCTAAATGGTAACAGTGTTTTTGTTTTTGTTGTTAGACAAATGAAATATTAATTAGGCTAATGTTTTCAGAGAATTAACAAACTATTTTATAAACATATTAGGTTTGAAATTTTTCCTTTTAACATTGTTTCTTATTTTCCATATTTTTTCACCTTGAAGTTAGTTTCTTTTCTAAAATCCTACAGCCCTAGTTTGTCTGCATTTCTTTATTCAAAGTAAGATAAGTAGATAATTTTTTTTTTCTGATATCCCACTTGGCAGATTCTTGTCAATGTTTATTTTATTTTCTTATTTTCAAGTGAAAACTATATTCCTTTGTTTGATTTAACAATCTTTAAAAAATTAACATAAATTAGAACACATTTAAATCTTGCTGTTTGTATTTATTTATACTACATAATTTAGTATTCCAAGGTTATTTCACATAGAATTTCTATTGATTCACTAGAGAGTTCAGAATGTCAGCGCTAGAGTTGGAGGGAATTATGGAGGGCCATGCAGAAGAGAGACCAGAGGCTGGACTTCTTGACTGAATACTGGACACTATATGTTCTGATGTCCTGCACCATGTTCTATAATTAGAACCTGTCAACATTCTAGACTCAAGAGAAAGCACATGTAAATCCAGAAGATGTGGCCACATTGACTCTGAATATCAGCGAGGCAACCACTGGTTGCATCACACCCTGCATCACTCTCCAGTTTCAGACACCTAGGGCAGCTGTCTGGAGCTGAGTGGTGACGGGTCAGGAACAGTGTGGTTTTTGCCCTTTGCCTTCCCATTGCCTCACACATGGGAGGTGGTACCCATAGGAGTCTAGTGAACACAGGTGGGTTGGATTGCAGCGTGGGCACTGACCCAGGTTCAGTCGGAAAGCATGGCTGCTCATCTGGCAGCTGGGATCAGACACAGCCCTGGGAGGCCTGCTCTCTGCCAGGGAGTCGGTATCTGAGGGCAGTGACAACTGTTTTTTCCTTCAGGAGAAAATGAAACCTGCATAGTTGGAGGGAATCCCTCTGAAGATGAAGCTTTTATCCCAATTTCTGGGAAAAAGGCATTGGTTTGCAGGGGACAAGGTAAGTGGGGGGGCAGATTTGAGAGCCAGGAGTTCATTTTGCCCAGGTTCAGAATTTAATGCCCATTCTTGCTTTGCCTTTCTGCAGCTCACCCATGTGGATTTCTCTACTTATGACATTGTTGACCTGCACCACAGATTGGAACCTAAGTGCCTGGATGAATTCCCAAACCTGAAAGACTTCCTCGACTGCTTTGAGTTAATTCTCCTGAACTTCTCACTATTTATATCTCTTTTTTCTTCTCCAGGATGCTTTCTTAGTCTCGGGGCTAAAAATTAAGAATACCTACCATTTATCAATGATTGATTTATACCAGGGTATCTGCTGAGCATCTTACATATATTGTGTTTCATCTTTGCAACATTTCTACATGGTAGAAGAACTATCATCTCCATCTTTTTTTCATTAATTATTTTAATTGGAGGATCATTTCTTGACAATATTGTGGTGGTTATTGCCATACATTGACATGAATCACCCATGGGCGCACTTTATCACCTCTGTCTTATAGTAAGGAATTAAGTTGAAAGGACACGTAATTGCTGAAGATCACAGACAGTCTGTGCTGGGCTGCCAGTGAGAGCATCTGGTGTCTATGGGCAACAGTCAGTGGTTCTCTGTTTCTTGTACTGAAAAGAAAAGCCCAGGTCCTTTTCTTGTCTGAGTTCACAGCCTTGGACAGTGTGGAGGAAGCAGAACCTTCAGGAGATGGTATGCAGCTGTGATTAGTAGAGTGACACAGTAAGATTGATATCAAGTACCAAAGACAGAGACAGTTTTTTCTCCTGGTTCCTGGGGAGCTTAGCAGCAATCATATCCCAGCCTGGGGTTGTATTAGGATTCCTAGGACTAAATGGAGTCTTCCCTGAGGGCTCAGTGGTAAAGAATCTGCCTGCAATGCAGACCCAGATTCGATCCCTGGGTTGAGGGGGATCCCCTGGAGCAGGGCATGACAACCCACTCCAGTATTCTTGCCTAGAGGATCCAATGGACAGAGGAGCCTGGTGGCTGCAGTCTGCGGAATCATACAGAGTCAGACACGACTGAAGCGTCTAAGCAGCAGCCCCAGAACTAATTGATGCTGACATTTGAAAACATAGGTAGATGCCCATGTGGAAGTATTTTTCTTGACACCTCTTGTGGTGACCACTACTCTTCCCTTTCTGTCTTCTTTTCCTTCTTCCTTCCAATCACCCCAGATTCTGTCTCAGAGATGTGATAGAACATCATTTTAAGTCATGTTCACTGATCTGACCCTCTCCTCGGTATGAGGCACTGAGTCAGGCGCAGGGGAGATGCAGAAGTCACCGAGGCCTGGTGCCCAACCTCTGGGGCTCAGGTAGCTGGAGAACTACAGGAACCCCAAAGGTGTGTGGTGTGGGTGGGGCCACCTTGGTTCTGGAGGAGCACAGCCTGACCTCATTTCCCAACTCACCACTGGTACCCTCAGTCAGCCAACTAGGGAGCGACAGTCTGCTTTATGTCAGGTTTGGGAATTTGAAGCTCTAGTCCAATAGGTTTTCAGCCTACAGTCTGCTTTTTATTCCCCCTCTCCATCATGGAATCTCCTTTCTCAGCTAGTTCTCATCAGTTCTGTTCTGGTCCAAGCTGATCAGCCTCGGGGATCATTCAAGAGATGGGATGACGGCTTGGAAGTGATTTGGAGACAGATGTGGGCTGCAGTGTGTGGCCTGTTGGGGCCTGGACTGTGGAATATAGGCAGCCCCAGGATCTTTGAATCCTTGAAATTCTAGGGGCCCAGTGAGACTAGGCTCAAGTCTCAGGCCAGGCAGTTGGACTTTGTCCTTTAAGAGAAATAATTAGAATCTGGTACTGAGCTTTATAGTATTCTTGCCTGGAGAATCCCATGGATGGAGGAGCCTGGTAGGCTACAGTCCACAGGGTCACAAAGAGTCGGACATGACTAAGCGACTTCACTTCACTTCACTTACTTCACTTCACTGAGCTTTATACTTCTCTATCAGCTTTCATCCAGGTTTGCTGAGTCATTGGGTACAGAGGTCTCTTCTGCAAGTTGTTTATGTATTTCTGAGCCTCTTTGGGGTGCTAGGGGGCCCTCTGTGGGCAAAGCCTGGAGCCTGTCTCTGATAAAATTTATGTTTATAGTATACTGTAATCTTTTTTTAAAAATAATTTTTCTGATTTATTTATTTTTGGCTGTGCTTGGTCTTCATGGCTGGGCTGGCTTTTCTCTAGTTGTGGCGAGCGGGGGCTACTCTCTACTTGCACTTGGCAGACTTCTCACTGCTGTGGCTGCTCTTGTTGCTGAGCAGGGGCTCTAGGAATGCGGGCTTCAGTAGTTTAGCATGTGGGCTCAATAGCTGTGGCTCCCGGGCTTGGTTGCTGCATGGCATGTGGGATCTTCCTGGATCAAGGATGGAACATGTGTCTTTTGCATTGGCAGGCAGATTCTTTATCACTGAACCACCAAGGAAGCCCCTACTGTAATCTACAAAGTGTGCAATAGCATTATGTCTACAAAAAGAATGTATTTACCTTAATTTAAAATGGCTTATTGCTAAGAAATGCTAACCATCATCTGAGCATTCAGGGAATTGTAGTGTTTTTGCAATTGTTGTTGTTTAGTCACTAATTCAAGTCCGACTCTTTGTAACCCCANAATGTAATGATTATGAAAAATGTAAAAATGGTGCTATAATGACCAAAATGTGACAGAGACATTTAGCAACATTTAGTGAGCAAATAAATGCTCTTGGAATGAATAGCGGCGATATACTTATTTGACGCAAGGTTGACACCAACCTTAGTTTGTAAAACACACAATACCTGGGATGCACAGTTAAGCGAAGTGTAATAGAACCAGAGATGCCTATACATCACCCTCTCTGGTGGATATCCACAGAGTGGAGTCTCCATGTGTGGTAGGTCTTAGTAAGATAGCACATTAGTTAGAGGAAACTGAAGGGGTTGAGTTCTGAGCACTAGGGACTGCAGGAAGACTGCCTTCTGTAATGCTTGCCCCCACAAGGAGGGGCTGTCCTGGGGTTCCCAACTTGGGTATCTGAAATGGAGCTGCTGGAGCCCCAGTGGGGCAGCTGATCGTGATCCGACTTCCTTTTTCTTATCCTTACGGCCTCGAGAGGATTTCTGCCTACATGAAGTGCAGCAGCTTCCTCCCGTGCCCTTTGTACATAAAGAGTGCCACGTGGGGCAGCAAGTTGCCCTGGCAGGCAGGAGATGGAGCGAGGAGCCAGTGCCATGCTTGCCACACCAGGGCCCTGGAGAGCAGCAGGAGCGTCCTGCACCCCAGGACCAGATCTTGTTCCCTCCTTCTTTCTTTCTGTTTGTCCCCACTCAGGCCCTATTTGGCCCCAACTCTTTCCCAACCCCATTCATCTAGGATCTCTAAGCTCTACAGCACCCCACTCTTCTTCAGTGAAGTCACCCCCTGACATTATCGTTTCTGCTCTAAAGCCAGTCGGATCATCCTTCCTTTCCGTGTGTGTGTGTGTGTGTGTGTTTTCTTCCTTCTGTGAGTAGCCTGACCAGACCCCTGGCTTGGAGAGCTCAGGCCTGAGCCCCCAGCACGGCCCTGAAGATCAGGACAGGCCCAGTGTGCAGGCCTTGCTCTCCCAGCCTGGGCCCTGCCCAGCCCTGCTGATCACCAATAAAGCCTTAACCACACCTGCTATGTCTTATCTTTTTTCCTCCTGATCATCTGAACTGTCCAACTGGCCCTGCTGCTTCCTAGGGATGGAGTGGTGACGCTGGCAGTATCTGGGTTCTTAGGGATCCTGTCTAGTAGTAAGATGTTCTGAGACTTCTTGTTCCCATTTCTGAGGCCCTCAGAGCAGGAGTCCTCAGAGGGCTCCTTCTGTTAATAGAAGGGAGGCCTCTTCCTGAGCCTCCATCTCTCATCCATTCCTCCTCCTTATTAAGGGCTCATGGCTTTGTAGAGCTGTGTGTCTTAGTAGGGCTCAGAGTGGTGGGATGCCTAGTGGATAGAATAGGATTCATTTCCCCTAGTAGTGCCTGGCTTTATCACCTCTGGAATGTGATCACATCTGGAATGTGTCTAGGGCCCCATCTCCACTCTTTTCTCAGATGCCTTCAAGGCACCTTCTGTTGGCTTCTACACAGCTATTGTTCAGGACCTTCATTCTTGGTTTGCTTCCTCATTTTCTTGGCTACCTAGGAGATAAATTTCTTTAGCCCTTGCATATTTGCAGATGTATTGCTAGTGTACATTGAACTAACATTTTGGTTGGGTATAGAATTCTAAGACGAAGATATTCAGGCCTCTGACGAAATTAGTCATAGCTTCTAGAATTCAGCGTTGTTCATAAGAGGGTGATGGCATTCTTCCCTGAATCTCTGGTAGATGCTTCTTAATGCTGATGACTCTACTTTTAGTATCTGTGCTTCCAAAGCGACTACAATATCCATAACCCTAAAGACGTGACTGTGTTAATTAAACCAACAACTTAAACTGGTTTTCCTTCATTAAATATTAAATATAGTTTTAAAATTAGGGACAAGTTTCTGTTACATTTAGAAATATTTAATTTGTAAACATTAAGTCAATTAAATATAATTCTTTTATTAATTAATTCTAATAATGCTATTCTGAGGGAGGAGCATATCATATTTATAATGTGCACAGACAAGCATACATCCAGATAGACACAGAGATCTCACAGTTTTATTTTAATACTTAGTCATGGGGATTTCCTGGTGGTCTGGTGACTAAGACTGCATGCTCCCAATGCAGGGAGCCCTGTTTTGATCCCTGGTCAGGGAACTAGATCCCATGTGCCACAACTAAGAGTTCACATGCTACAATTAAGCCCTCACACAGCCAAATAAATAAATGAAATATTTTTTAAAAGTAAAAAAATACTTAGTCATGAACCAAGCATTGTACTTTAAACTTACTAATTTATAAGTTGGAATAATTCATTTACCACCTTGAACTTAAAGAAAGACCTATAACCCTTTCCCCCCTTTTCCTTCATTTTTAGGTTCTGTTAATGGACCCAAGGCTGCTGTTTCAGGCAATATGGGCTGTGTTTACAAGTCTCAGGACATGACAAGAATTATAACCACAAGCTTTCTCCTGGGAGCACTTTTGTTCCCTTAAATTCTGAATCTGTAAAAGAAGTTTTTCTCTAATTTCAGAAATAAAAAACCAGTTTGGGAATGATGAAAGAGCCCTATCCTGGCCAATTTGGGGCAAGATAAGGACTTTCAGGTATTGGCTGTGTACCAATTGTAAACAAAGCCAGCTGGAGTTCTAGTGGGTGGCTGCCAGCCCCAGAGCTGATAGACTTTCAGTTCA